GGTTAACGGTGCAAGACCAATCAAAATCCACGGCATGCTGATCACATTAACGGTCACTATAGTAATACTCTTGATGAAGAGCTGAAAGAAAAGAACTGGTAGTGAATCTCACTATCAGAGGTCGCACAAGATGACAACAACAAAATCCTTCGTCAATTGAGTTCAAGTGCAAYTTATTCGGTCATTTTACGAACCACGGCAATATAAATCACGTAGATTATTGCTTCTATTCCAAATCACACTAAACTMTTCATTCATGAACGAATCAGGGATTAACATACAGACTAATATAAAAGACTAATACAAAAATACAGAATAACGAATTACGGGAATCCGTTACATATCCCGCAATCAAAWTCTTCTGCACCTTTTCCCCATATCCCAAAATGATTGTTTTCGTGACTACTGGCAAACAGGTTCTCCATTCTTCCGGGCCTGGACTTCCTTAATCTCGTTAAGCGATTCTGTGTTCACGCAAATGGTATAGGGAACCCAACAAGAACAAATTGTAACTCTTTATGTACACAAACCCATTCAACGTTCCTCAAAGTGAGTCGTTGAATAAGGTACTTACATGCAGAAATTCGTAAAACGTTTCAGGTAACATGTTGTCCGTATATCCAACGTCTTTCGAAAATCGATTAATAATTCGACCTGTAAATAAATACAAATATTGACAAATGTTTTCTGTCCTGCCTCCATGTTCTGAGATTTATGAGAGCAGAAAGGCTTTGAAAATGCTGTGAAGAGACATTTYCTAAGAAACGTCTTGTACGMATGCGCATATTTCYGATATGYTTTGTYGGTAGTARYWAWGAGATTCTTCTATGAGAAAAGGMACTCACCAAGAGGATTGGTATCGAAGAAGTATTGCGAGGCTCTGATAACTGCGTCATACATTTGATTGTGCAGGTTTTTTGAAGCRTTGATTTTGACATGGAAAAACAGAAACACCTTCGCAATGGAMARCAGTAAAGTTGCTATGACAACACCAAGATAGACGTAAATATAGAAGAACTTATTAAATTCTTGGTGAGGAGAGTCGGTTGCATTTGATGGTAGTATAGACAGGCGATTCTGCTCTGCGACAAATCTTGAGTTAGTTTCTGACCTGCAGGCATGGTAATGCAAGTGATGTATGAATGTTTCGAGATATCGAGAGAAGAATGATTACTCACATTATGCATTACCAACACAACAAACAAAACACTTCTCATATCCGACTATAAATAACATGCAAGATTGTATATTACCAATGCGCTAGCCACCAGTCCCCGAAGGTATAAGCTCCCTAAAATGGATTGCAGAGACTGTCAATATTCAGTTAGATACAACCTTTAGCCATAACATTTTCACTCATGAAGGCAAATAGTAATGTTAATTATACCACTCAATAAGCTCTACATTTTTGATGAAACTGTCTTTGTACCTTTTCAAACGCACAGCGTCTTCGAGAGAAGACGTATTTACAACCGTTAGGTTTCTATATATCGGTGTAATAGAATTACAAACCTGAGTAAGAATGAAGAGAATAAACAAAAGCGCCAGGACATAAAAGTTTGCACCTGTGTTGAACAGTCTTAAGTAAAACCGACAAGGAATGCTGCCGCGCAGCCGGTCCTCAGGCTCAACATCCACCTCTTGTGCTATCTGGGACTGAAAAAAGTAAGCAAACAGGAATGAAAGATTTGCAGTTTCCTTACTAGCCTGAATTCTAGTAAATCAGCAAAACAGAAGCGCCCCTGTAGAGACCTTCTCCGATCTCCACCGCGCTTCATGTCATCCCGCACGTGTCCTATCTAGTCTTAAATAAATTATCTTTGCTTTTATCAGTGCACTTTCTGCTTTGTAGAAGGAAAATTTCAACAATTGTTTGGGGATAAATGTGAAAACGTTCTGCGACTCTGGCATAAAAACAGAGATAAATGTAAAGGTGTATCTAAAAAGATCTCATTAAAATCATCCCTACCTCATTTGCAGGAGTGTCCAGCTTAAGCTCTATGTCAGTCAATGACGAGAAACTTCTTCGATTGCACAATGCTTTTATAGAACTCGATCTCTTTGGGCTTTTGTCTGGTATTATCAGCATAGACGATTCACTCGATTCCTCTTCTTCTAATGCACTATCAACTGAGCTATCTTCGGCGTCTTGGGTAGGCTTGGTCTTGATTAGAGATATCAAGTCAATACCAGATGAAGCTAGCTCGGTATACGTACCTATTCCAAGTATTCTACCCTTTGGAAAAAACAAAACAAAACAAAACATGCATGTATTATGTAAACAAATAATAAAACCACTAAAAACTCTGGGTGATTTGAGAAAATGCGACTAGCCAATCAGCGCAAAGCTGACAAGCTTATGTTGTAAACATAGCCCCCACACGGGAGGAATTTGCACAGCAAAACTCGACCCAGTGGAGTAGGCTGCCTGCCATTTTATTCTATCCGAAAAATCAAAGCTGAAACGCAAAGAGAAATTGAAATCTTTATGAA